TTTTGCCTGAGCTCTGACGTGGAGTGATGGAGCCCAGAACCATATTTATTCATTTATTCCATGGTTCCTGGGCAGTGCTGTGTGCCAGGTCCTGCTAAATGCCAGCACCCAGGAGACTCACCAGACGATGCTCCGGATGTCTGCAGGCACCTAGACAAAGACAGAGTTAGGAAATAACTAGAAAAAGGTGACACATATCAAGCCTAGGCGCTGAGTGAGGGCACCCAGGGGCTCCCAAACCAGAATGAGAGGGAGGCCAGGGAGAGCCAAAGAAGGTATCAAGAAAAAAGAAATGAAGCTTCTGGAGAGTCTTAGAATGCTGTCATGAAAAGAAGCAAGCCTTTGTGTCCTGCCCACTCCTTATTTTTAATCGCTTGCTCATAGTGTCGGCCATCTCCCATCCCCCCACTTCATTTCAGTTTGGTTTCGTTTCTTTGTTTGTTGGATTTGAAACAATGTCTCTCTATGTAGCTAGCCCAGGCTGCCCTCCATTTAGAATCAATGGAATTCCACCTCCACTACCGGGGGAGGCATCCCTTGGCCCATCCCAACTCCCAGAGCGCTTGTTTATGGTTGTTAAGAACATGCAGCATTGACTGGCTGGTAGTGGCCCACGCCTTTAATTTGCAGAACTACAGAGAGAGTTCCAGGACAGCCAAGGCTACACAGAGAAACCCTGTCTGGAAAAAACTAACTAACTCAATAAATGAAGGAAGGAAAGAAGGAATGGAGGGAGGGGAGAGAGGGAGGGAGGGGGGAAGGAGGGGAAGAGAGAGAGAGAGAGAGAGAGAGAGAGAGAGAGAGAGAGAGAGAGAGAGAGAAGAGGGAGAGAGAATATGTAAGAGGCTGCTTGCTAGGTATGGTAACACATGCTTTTAGTCCTAGCACTTGTAAAGCAGAGGCAGGTGGATCTCCGTGAGTTCAAGGCCAGCCTGGTCTACATAGTTAGTTCCAGGTGGGCTACATAGTGAGACCTTGTCTCAAATAATAATAATAAAATAAAAGAGGCCTGAGGGAAAAACCAAGTTGCTTGCCTGCCTGTGATTTTTGCTGGTGAGAGTGTCTATCGTGTTTGATTGCTGCTACTGCCATCATCCTTTGTGGCCGTCAGACTCCAGCCTCTCTGGCCTTCCAACATGGACTGAAGACCTATGGTTCCCGAAGAATCCTCCAGGCCTTCGGCACCAAATGTAACTGCTGGAGCACCCAGCTGGTGGACTGAGCAACTATCTGGTTGGGTTCTCAGCATCTCCAATGTGAAAATGGCCATTGTTGGATGACTCAGCTTGTGTAAGCCAAGCTTGTGAGTTCCTTTGCACTCTGTTCCTCTAGGGTAGTAGTTTTCAACCTGTGTGTCATGACCCTCACAGGAGTTGTGCATTAGATATCCTGTATATCAAATATTTACATTATGGTTCATAAAAGCAGCAAAATTATAGTTGTGAAGTAGCAATGAAATAATTCTATGGTTGGGGTCACAGAAACATGAGGAATTGCATTAAGGGGTCTCTTTGCACTGCCCATGAGAGAGAACATGGATACTTGGCTTTGGGCATCTGGCTTATTTCATTACCGGGATAATCTCTAGCATCATGCTTTTTCCTGAAAATAGATAATTCTTTGTTTTTTATGCCTGAATAACTCTCTCTGTGTTAAATACTACGATTTCTTTGCTTTTAAATCGACTGGTGAGCACTAAGCTGGGTATAGTGAGTGCTGCCATGATAAACGTGGTATGTGGTTATTTTGTAGTAAACTGATATCAGTCCTTTGAGTAGATACTCATGAGTGGCATAGACAAGCCACACAAAAGTTCCCTTATTAATTCTTTTCTTTATGTAGCTTAGCTGGCTTTGAACTTGCTGAGTAGACCAGACTGGCCTCAGACTCTTAGAGATCTGCCTGCCTCTGCCTCCTACATACTGGGATTAAAGGTGTGTGGCCACTGTGCCAGGAACATTTCTAATTTTTTGACAACTTCTAGGAGCCTTCTTGAGATAGCTGGCTGGAGATTTTTCTCCTGGATTCTCTGGTCTGGATTCAGAGGAAGGACAGACAGATTGCCACCAGAGTGACTCCTAGGGGATCATGACCCAGGTGTCTGTGGTCAGTGCTGGGCTTAGGGCTGTAGCCCATGGCTCGGTGTGGACCCACTTTCCCGTGAGGTACCAGCCCAATAATCTCAGACTGTGGGCTTCCTAACCAAGCTTGCAGCAACATTAGTCCATGTATCCACTAGGCTCTGGAAGCTCCTGGTAGCACCACTGGCTGGGAAGCCTTCAACACATTTGTGGTTGTTTTGTATGTGAGTCTATGTGAGGTATATGCACATGTGTGTGTGCATGTGGGGGGCATCAGGTAATCTTTACTCTCATACTCCACCTTATTCCCTGAGACGGGATCTCTCGGTGAACCTGGGACTAGGTTGGCAGCCGGAAAGCCACAGTGAGCCTCCTCTCCCCGTGCCCAATAGTGCTGAGGTTACAGGCCTGTGAGACCAACCAACTTTTTAACTCAGATGTTAGGGATTCAAACTCAGGTCTTCATGCTTGTGCAGCTGACCCATGCCCCACCCCCAGATCAGCATGTGCATTTTAAAGGAACATTTATGATCCAAACCATGGCAGTCGGTGGACCCACTGAGGGTCTGGGAAGGTGGTATACCCAGAGAGAGCAGACACTCCATATACTTCATTATGGTTTTGATATGATATATCCCTTTAAGGGTTCATGTTCTCAGCTGCTGGCACTGTTTCGGGAGGTTCTGGAAACCTTGGGGAGGAGGGCTGGCTGGAAGAAATAGGTGATAAGGGCCTTGGCTTTGAAGGTTGTACCTGGCTCCTCTCTACTGTGAGGTGAGTAGCCTCTGCCATCTGCCACCACCAGAGATTCAAGAGAATCGAGGACTGTGAGCCCAAACCTCAGAAGCTGTGGACTAAAATGAACCCTCTTCTCTTTGGGTATTTTGTCAGAGCAACAAAACATAACAGCCACCCCCATTTCTTGCCTTGCCAGGACCTATGCCTTGCTTTGGGGTCTGAATTTTATCCTTCATAATTAACTGATAATAGGAAGTAAATCACTCTTCCTGTACTAAATACAACCAACAGGTAATAAAGAAAGTGTCTTTCTGTGAAATGTTCTGGCAGATTCTGAGAATAAGTTGCCAGAACCTCTAACTACAAGTAGTCAGAAGCCCAGGTGACAACCTGAGACTTCCATCTGTCTCCCTGAGTAAAGCTGGTCTTAAGGGACTGACCTGATTAGGGGTGGGGTGGGGGTTGTGTTGCACCAGCCCAGGTAACCCCTATTAGAATTAAACTTGACTGTAGGACAGTATCCGAAGAGTTGGAGAGAGAGTTGTCGTGGTTGTGATTAGAAACTGGTTGCTCACCTTTCCCTGAGTCTCAGGTACTGTCACATATGTCATCTTATTAGTGGGCTTGACAGCCTGGAGAACAGGCCCAGTTATTAACCACAGATCACAGATATGCTACCAGTCATCATCAAGAGAAGTGAAGAAACACAAGGTCACGAGCTTGGCAGGAAGCTTAGGGCAGAGCTAGGGTTTTAGCCCAACTTTGACTCTACATTCAACATTGATTTTTATTATAATTTGTGTGTGTGGTGGGGGTGGGGGTAGGCAAAAAGCAACCCTGGGGATCATTCTTCATGAACGTCATCATCATTTTGGGACAGAGTCTCACTGTGTAGCTCTGTTGGCCTGGAACTTGCTATGTAGACCAGACTGGCCTCAAACTCACAGAGATCCCCTTGCCTCTGTCTCTGCCTCCTGAGTGCTAAGAATAAGGCATGCACTATCATGCTCAGCCTTATAAACCTTATTTTTGACACGTGATCCCTCTTTGACTTGAAGCTCACCCATTAGGCTAGACCGACTGGCCAGTGAGCCCCAGGGACGCTCCTGTCTCTTTCTCCCCAAGGCTGAAATCAGAACACGTGCCACCTTGCCCAGTGTTTTTACCCTGGTTCTGGGACTGGAACTTGGGTCCTTGTGCCTCCATCTCTTTCTGTGCTCATCTCCCAAGTATTGAGATTCCATTCTTGTGCCACAATGCCCAGCTTAATGGGTAAGTTTTGAGAGCTAGTCAGTCCTACAGGATCCCGTTCACCATTAGCCGCTCACTCTAGGGTTCACCAAGCCTGCAGCTCATGATAGCAGGCCGCTCTCCTCCACCTGACAGGCCTTTCGCATAACTGAGCCTCAACTGCTCATTCCAGGCTGACCAGAAGCCACCCTCCCTGCCGCTGCCCTCACCTTGCCTCAGATGTGACACTCACATGGTTTGTCCAGCTCTGCTTTCTGGTGTCAGTTGTGCTCTGTAAACACGAGTCTCTGTCCACCAGTTTCCAGGGTCTCTCCATACTGGTCCTTCCCAGTCCATTCTTTACTCCTTCCTCCCTTGGTCCTGGCATTTGAACCCAATCACTCCCTCCCCTCCACCTGGAGAAGCTTGCAATGGTCCCAAGAGTTAAGAACAAGAGTTCATCACTCGGGAGGCTGGCACTGCCTGGTCCAGGACTGTGTTGAGTGCCAATGCTGCCTCTCCAGGTGCTCCTGATGCTTGCTGAGGTCTGGGAACCACCAGCCTGGAAGATGCCGGATGCTGGCATATTCTCCCGGCAGCGCTGGCCAGCTCAAGGCCAACAGCGAATCTCCAAAGGTACTTCACCAAACAGGCCAAGGGCTGTGGTGTTTCAGAGACGGGAAGCACATAGAACCATTGCGACCAGCAGAGCAAGATCCTGACAGAGGACTCAAAATGAGAAGGCAGAGTCGAGCTATGTCTAGCCAAATCATCCTAACGGTAGGAAGCCCTTTCCTCATTCACAGAGGGACTTTGGACAAATCTCTTCATTTGAATTCTACTTAGTTTTTATCAGAGAGCTGACTGGGCATCCTGCTGTAAGAAAGGATGCTGAGCTCCTAATCTGCTAAAAAAAGAAAAAAAGAAGGAAGCTTAATTAAAAACTTTTTTTTTTTCCAAGAATAAAGGTCCTTTATTGTCTTCAGAGTTGTAGTGATAGGGCTGGGACGCTAGGATTACTTAGGTGGGACTTCCCAGCACCCGACTGTAGAGTTGGATGGCGATTGTAGAGGAGGATGGCCCCTTTGGCTGAAGGGCAGAGTTGTGCCCACATCTCCGTCTCCTGCAGTCTCTGGACCCTCTGTGTCTCCACAAAGATGATTCCTGTAGACGCGTGGGCCTCAGGTCCCCCATTCATGTAGTAACTCCTGACCTCCTCTGAAGTTAGGCTGCATTGGACATAGAACTCTGCACTGGCTCTGCCCGCGCTGGTCTCATTGCAAGCGATGCCCAGTAACAGTGGCCGGCTCAGGGTGTGCAGTGGCAGGTTCACCTCATCACATATCTCCTGTAGGACACTGGAGAAGAGTTCCTGGACCACCAGTTCCCCAGGGAGGTCCTTGTGTTGGGGGCTGCCACCAGAGCACAGGGCCTGAGGTTCAGGGTGCCCACCGGGCACGTCCACCAGCCCAGGAGCCTCGGCCACCTGCTGAGAGCGGCGCAGGAAGACAAGGAAGTCATCAGCTGTGACCAACGTGGCACCCACCCCCAGTGGGTCTGCCAGATAGGCTTGCTTGTCACCCCAATCTGTAGCTCCCTGCTGTCGCAGCCAGGAGGCCGAGCTGGACCAGTTGGTGCCCAGGAAGTCCCGGTAGGAAGTCAGACCCAGGTGCAGGAGCAGCTGTGGCCCAGGTGGGCTGGATGCCAGTGTGGCTGAGTGAAGGCGGAACTTGGGGGCATCAAAGATCCAGGGCTGGGTCTGTAGCCGGGTCTCCCAGATGGCAGTAATGGTCTTGTCTCCTCCAGGCAGTGGACGACGGTCATGAGCTGGGCTCAGCTCTACTGCTACCTGCTCCTGGGACAGTCCCCCAAGAGGGCACAGCAGCAAGAGGGACACCTCAGGGTCCATGGTGTGACAGGGAAGTCTGCTTGGGCAGCGAGTATCATCCCACCAAGAGTCCTGAGCCCAGCAAGCTCCTGGACTCCTGCTGTCTCAAACCTGTAAAATCTTTGGGCATCCCTACCGCCCAGCAGCACTAGGAGCGCCAATGCTCATAGCCCCCAAACCAGGAGTCCTCCTACATCCAACCTGGACACGCAGGATCTCGGAGTTCACCGGTCGGCTTCTAAAAACTTTTTTTGAGACAGAGTCTCATGTAGCCAACGCTATGCTTGAACATAAAGGATGACTTTGAACTCCTGATCCTCCTGCCTTCACTTTGCTGAGTCACTGACATCACAGGCTAGAATCCTCTGGTCAGGTTTTAAGTTAGAGTTTAGACCCAGGACTTCAGGAATGTTAGGTAAGCACTCTACTTATGAAGCCACATCCCTGGCCAGATATTTTGGGTTTTGGAGACAAACTCACATAGCTCAAACTGACCTTGAACTCACTATGTAATGGGTGATGACCTTGAACTCTTGATCCTGTCTTCACCTCCTAAATACTGGGACTACAGTCACGTATCACCACACCTGGCTCAAGAACAGCAGCCTTAAACTTGTGAGAGCCCCAGCCACAGCACCCAGGACTGAATGGGAGCATGTTCTGGACGCAAACGTTGTTTATTCTGTGAACTCCTGACCCGGCTATCCTGGCAGCTCTGGGCTGGGAGGCAGATAAAAGGTTTGCCTGCGTAAATAAAAAGGGCTGTCTGTGGCGGGGACCCTTTGTGGTCCTAGCCCATTTGCTTTGGGCACTCCCTTGCTGGCCTTCCCTAGAGGTTGGCTGGGCCCACACAAAGGGGCTCTGTTCCTGCCCATGTCCATTTGTGATAAAAGGCCTAACGCCCTGCCAACCAGGCCTGGTAATGATGTTGCTGATGGCTGTATAATCATAGCCGGTGCTCCCCAGGGCTTCCGAAGAGCCAGCTGCTTGGCTAGGCGCTTGGAGGAACTGTTTCTTACAACAGAACTAGGAGGGAGATTGAGTTCCTGCCCTTGTTTTATAGAGGAGGCCCACAGAGCTCAAAGAAGGGAGAAAACCTGTCCTGTCACCTGGGGAGAATGGGAAAGCGTTGCCTTGGGCCATGCTTCTGTAATTGAGTTGCAGTGTTGGGGACTGGGGAGATGGCTCAGTGGGCAAAGCTTTGCAAGTACAAGGACCTGAGTTTGATCCCGGCACCCATGTTAAAAGAGGAGGAGGAGGAGGTAGAGAGGAGGAGGAGGAGGAGGAGGAGGAGGAGGAGGAGGAGGAGGAGGAGGCGGCAAGCATGGTTGTACACACCTGTAAGCCAGGGTTCTCTAGTCAGCCAGTTTAGTCTAATCATGAAGCTCCGGGTCGATGAGAGACATTGTCTCAGACACCAAGGGGGATTGCCCCAGAGGAGTAAACCCAAGGTGGTCCTCTTACTTCCTCATCCACATGCCCAAAGCACCACACATCCACACAGCATGCTCACCCCCATCCCCCAAATGTAGTGCCTCCTGACAAGTTTCTTCTTTCTAAGGTAGGTTTGTGTTACTCTTTGGTTTTTTGTTTTGTTTTTGTTTTTTTTTGGTTTTTCGAGACAGGGTTTCTCTGTGTAGCTTTGTGCCTTTCCTGGCACTCTGTAGCCCAGGCTGGCCTCGAACTCACAGAGCTCCACCTGCCTCTGCCTCCCGAGTGCTGGGATTAAAGGCGTGTGCCACCATCGCCCGGCTGGTTTGTGTTACTCTTTGTAACAAAGGTGAAATCATGTTTTTAAAAGTAAGAAAAATTTAGGATTCTACACACCAGCTTATCCAAGATTATGATTCCAGAAAAGTTTGCAGAATACCACCTGAGGCCTAGCTACCAAGCCCTTTTCTGAGAATGCCTCCTGCGGTGCCGAATGACCTTTACCCTATTATTAATTATCTATGCATTGTACACGCATAAAGTTATTTGGGAAAGAAACACATTTGGTGTGCTCTCTCTCTCTTGTCTCTCTCTCTCTCTCTCTCTCTTACACACACACACACACACACACACACACACACACACACATACACACTTTGTCTCAGCTTTGTTTCCTGTTGGTGACAAAATACCCCGACAAAAGCAAATTTCAGGAGAAAGGATTTATTTGGCTCACAGTTCCAGGTGATGGTCCACCATCACGGGGAATTCAAAGCAGCGAGAACCTTAACTAGCTAGTCACATTACAGTCACAGTTCAGAGCAGGGAGTAATGAATTCACACATACATGTTCGTGTTCAGTTCACTTTCTCTGTTTCATTCAGTCCAGGAACCTTGCCTGTGGAAAGGTGCTACTGCAGTATGCAGGTCTTCCTGACTTGATTAATGAAATCAAGACGCCACCACCACCACCACCCCAACCCTGCTGTAACATAGTCAGAGACCTGCCTCCCAGGCAATCCCAGATTGTGTCAACTCGACAATTAAAACTATCACAAACTCACATCCATAAAATTCCTCTCTTAATGTCCAGTGCTATGATGTTCAGCATGTAGGTTCCAAAGTCACATGTCTACCACCAAGATCAAGGCACAGTATCTTCCAGTGTTCCAGTTTTATCTTCAAGTCCTCCTCACCCCAGCCCCTGACAACAGGGGATCTGTGCACAGGCCCAGTAGTTTGACTTTTCTAGAACATTCAACTGCAGCTTTTTTCTCGTACTATAATGTACCTGAGATGTGTCCATATTGTCATGTGGACAGTGTAAGAGTTTGTACCTTTTAACTTCTGAATGGCAAGGATCTGGAGGTCACAAAACACAGAGGAGGAGCCAACTTTATTTTTCTGGAAACATCTATCAGGTGAGCAGTGGCTGGTGGGTCCTGCCTCAGTATCTTCAGGAAGGTCCCACCATCCTGGCTTACAAATGTGAGCCACTGTGCCTGGCTTGCCTTCTTTTGTTTTAATGAGACAATTCTCTTCAAGGCAGTCTAACTTCACAGGAGTTTACTGTCCCCCCTTGAGATTCCTAAGCAGCTGAACAGAGACAAGTCACCAGGAGTGATTTGCATCCCCTTTATTAGCTGGCCTCTGCTTGGCAATGCCAGCCACACAGTTTCACGGAGCCTTCCTAGATCCTGCCTGTAACACACAATTGTTCAGAAGAAATTTGTGCCAAGACTTTTCTGAATGGAAACTCCATCTGCCCTTGGAAAGAGTGTGCACGTGGACTCAGGGTTTCAACAACAGTGATTATTAGCTGCACAAGCATTTGCTGGGGGCCTCCTTGGCGGTGAGAGTGATAGCTGGTAGGGCTAGGAGCCCAGGAGTTGAGTACTTACCTGCCCATCTGCCGGAGAGCCCCTGGGAGGGTTCAGTCCTTGGAGAATCGGAGCCCAGTACTGTCAAGCTCTCAGTCCGCCCCCCTTCCCACTTCTCCCGGAGTTTCCATGCACATAAGAAGGAAGGGTAGCCCTGCTGGGTGTGGACAAGCTATTCCAGAAGCCAGAGGAGCTGGTGGGAGGAGAGGAGAGCTTTGTGATGAGACCTAAGATAATAGGATGCTTTTCAGGGATGTTTCCTTATAGTCTGCGGGGCCAGATTGGACCACAACATGAAGGGAACCCTATGTTACACATGCTGAATCAGCAACTCTAAACACAGCAACCAGGCACCTGGATTTTTCAGCAAATATCTATTTAAGTGACATGGTTCCTAGTCATGATTTAAATTAAATGTTTAAGTTCATCCAGCATTAAACAAACAAACAAAACAGACAAACTGTCCTAGAGAAGAACTAAACACATTATTCAGATCCCAAGCAGTGGAGTGGAGGGGGCTGGGTGAACACATTTTTAAACTTTCTTCCTCTGTAGTTACCTAACAGCTCCAGGATAAATTTGAGCTCCCCATTCGCTTGCCTCCATCTCCTAAGTGCCGGGATGAGAGGTGCTTCAGATATTCCGTCTCCTGGAGATATGAATAATGTCTACCCTCTCCTTGTAAGGCCCTGGTGACAAACTAAAGTGGGATTTCACCTAAGTTCGCCCTGGGGGAACCAGTGAGATCACTGGGCGTTTTTTACAGAGCGTGGGGGGAGGCTACTTGCAGCAGTGTGGGGGTTTCTAACTAGCCACACCAGTAAGTCTTCACCCAGCATGGACAACGGCTCCCCCATAGTCTCTGTGGGAAAGCACTTTCCGCCATAGTCTGTGGGCTAGCACCTCACCTCTGAGATCCTGAGCAATTAGGCTAGAATTGCCTACAACTGTCTGGGAAGGGCCGGAGGGTGTGGCTGGACTCACAAAGAAGCATCCATCTCCTCTCCCAACCTCCTGCTTCTCTAAGGGTACTCAACAGGCCTGCACCCTATGGTCTTTCAAAAGCAGGCTGCTTTGCTTGGAGGACTGCATCCTATAATAATCTAAGTATTTGCCATCACACTCCACCACATTTCTTTTTGTGAACTAGTTCTACCAAAATATTCCTCCTGCTGTGAGTCATTCTCCATTTCAGACACATGCAAGAATACACAGAGCACACTGATCCACCTGCTAGCCAAAGAAACAGGGCGAGCAGCCTCAAGGTTCTCCCTCCTGTGCTGTGCTCCGAGGGTGATGGCCAGGAATATGGTCCTCTGGGTCTCTTTTGCACCCGCCCATGGAAACTTGGCAAAAGAAACATATATTTTGGATATTCAGTGGCTGTTGCTCATGGAAATCCTGAGTCCACGTGGACACTCTTTCCAAGGGCAGATGGAGTTTCCATTCAGAAAAGTCTTGGCACAAATTTCTTCTGAACAATTGTGTGTTACAGGCAGGATCTAGGAAGGCTCCGTGAAACTGTGTGGCTGGCATTGCCAAGCAGAGGCCAGCTAATAAAGGGGATGCAAATCACTCCTGGTGACTTGTCTCTGTTCAGCTGCTTAGGAATCTCAAGGGGGGACAGTAAACTCCTGTGAAGTTAGACTGCCTTGAAGAGAATTGTCTCATTAAAACAAAAGAAGGCAAGCCAGGCACAGTGGCTCACACTTGTAAGCCAGGCACTTGGGAGGTGAAGCCAGGATAATTAAGGAGTTCAGACCACCGTTTGCCACTTAGTGAACTAGAAGCCTTGGTTACATGAGACCAAGGCTCAGATAAGTAAATAAATGAAATGGAAGAAAGGAAGGAGAATAAAGTATACACCAAATTGAACAGGTTATATGCAAATAATACCTTTTTTTTTTTTTCCTATGGGTTG